CGCAACATCTTATTCTGTTGGAGCGCTTCGGACAGCGATTGTCTCAAAGTGTAGACCAAATCGAAATCATTTGGCGGACGTTTCATTGACTTCTTTTTGGTGCCATCGCTTTGAACCATACGATAAAGTGTCCGAAAACTGTTGTTAACTATAAAATCGAGGCAACAATTAGTGAAACCATTAATTAATACATTAATTACTAAATGTATTGAAACACAAACCATCGTTCGCGAGACTAACAAAATCGATGATCGCTTTCGTCGATTTGATTGACTCGAAGTCCTGCGAGTGGTCTTTGAAGTCAGTCTCCGCTTCGTTACACGACTGTGTCATCCAATTGTCGGGCGAACTGTTGGGCGCTAACGACGCCTCGTTCAGCACCGGATGCGATGAACTCAAGTGGTGTCCGATCGGCAGTGGCTTTAACTTCGTTGCGTTCTTATCGTTGAGTGTCGTGTCGTTTGGCTCACTCTTCTTACTATTGGTCACCGGCTTATCGGTGGACGCGCTGGACGTCGAGTTGTTTTGTTTCTTTCGCCGCAATAGGAAACGACGTCTGGATTTCTTAAGGCTCACAGTCTCTGCGGAGGGAATGGCGTCCGATTTGGACTCGATCTGCATCTCAATCAACTTCAACAATGAGCTCAACTTCACGAGCTTTAGTTGCAAATCGATTAACTCTTTGCTGAAATTAGTGTCCATTTCCAGCGGATTCGAGTCCAGAATCCAAGCGATCACTTTAGAGTTCATCTCATGATTGGTGGGCGTTATTCCGCCACCGCTTCCGATGCCAGTGACGGCTACCGACCGGACGGGAGTAGAGATGGCGTTAATTCGGTTACCGAATGAGATCTCGTGCTGTCTGTAGAGTCGATGGTGTCTCAGCATTGATATCCATTTCGTAAACATAATCCGATTCTTCACTTTTATGTGATAAATAAACTCTTCGGCGTCAATATCTATGCGCTTTGAGCTCCGTTTGGTGGATATGACGGATAGTCCGACGTCTACTGAGCCGTGAATCTTGCCTTTCATCATATCGTTGGGACTCTTCGAATAGGAAAGGATTCCGTTCTCCAAATGGAAGTGCCGTTTGTGCCAACCCTTTAGCGGCCATTTCCTCCTCTTAAGCATAAAGCCATCAAATTTGTTTGGCTTGTCTTCGCATCGCTGGCCATCTTTCAGTCCCTCCAATATCTCCCATTCGTTGCCCGACTTGTGGTGCGATTTTGACGCCTTTTTGGACGACTGAATAGATTTCTCCGATTCGGAGTACTCTTGCGGCTGTCGGTCACTGTTTGGGTCGTTTAATTGGCTACCGTTGGGACCCGTTATGATCGGTAGATACAGGCCGTGCTTTCGGTCATTGTCTTGGCTTTGAGCGATCGTACTCTGATCCTAATGATAGGTCGACAACAACAACAATACAAACAATTATCAATTGGTGGCAAATAAGACACGAAAGAGTGGAGACAAAGAACTCACCGAATCGGACGTGTGATGACCTGACTGTGTGTGTGAATCACGTGATTGTGTGGACAGCAAGAGCTCATTGATCACAGAATTGTTGCACCCGTTGTTGATAGTGTGGTTCATCTGCGGTATAGTCGATGACATACTAGAAATGAATGGCTGAGCGATGTCTTTGGCCGCAAAAGATATCTGTCGTCTAATCGTCACCAGAGAGTTGGTTCGCACCGCTCTTCAGACGCCAATACAATCGTTGATAACAATTATAGTTGTGTTTCAAAGTATACTTCAAACGACCATTGAATCCATTGAATGGTTATCTAATCTTATCTTCAAATACCGACCGAGTCTTCAGTTTTTAATCTTAAAAACTAAACAAAAATAATATTAATATTTAGACAACAATTCAATTGACTTTTGATTTGAATAAACAAATGATTGAATCAATGATTAAATAAATATTAATAACAAAATCACTTACGCTTTGAAATTAATGTAAAATTCAATTACAATACAAAAACTAACAATCGTTTCAATTATTATTATTAATGATTAATAAAATTATATTTTAATTATTATTAATTTATAAATAAATATATTTTGTGACCAATTATTACAATCGTAACAAAAATTGAGTCTTAATTTTGAGCATCAATTTCTCCGTCCATTCAATTCAATACATAATTATTACAAATAATAGACTTGTGTTTCAAAACATCACAAATTAATTATTACTAAATTGTATACAAAATAATAAATAAGTTATGTTTAAGTAATCAGCGATTAAATCAATACTTAATTATCTTTGATCACAATTTAACGTTAAAAACACAAACAAATAATACTTTCATTTAAAACAAATGAAACTCAAATTCAAAACACTTTAAAATATATAGTTTTAATCGCTTTTAGACTTATATTAACGATAAATACATAAATAAGTTGTGATTTGTAAATGAAATCATTGTCTTAACGCCAATACAAGCCATTCATTCATCGAGTGTTTGGTTTGTGTTTTGCTTTTCAATTGTTGTTTCACTTGTTATGCATTTTCGTCAGTCGTTTGCATCACATATGCATTGAAATACAAATACACTTCACTTGTCATTCAAATCTCTATTACCATAACATTGTTATTATATAATGGCTTTCAATGGGAGAGTTGTATTGTGTGAATGCGATCGCCGTTTCATTTGATCGCAACTCGTTGTTAAGGGTTTGTGTCTATTATTAATGATATGGTCAACACATTGCACAATACAATCCCATACAGTATACGCGCAGTACATACGGTACTCACTGTACTCGTACACTGCGTTAGTCAATGAGTGACGATACTATTGCACTCATATATCGAAACCTCATGTGATGTGTGGCTGTGTTTGTATAGCGAGGCGTTTGAAAATGTTAGGTTAGGTTAGGTTTGAACGCAACTTAACGTTAGAGTCAATGCAGAGACACTCGTATAACACAAACACAGTATTGAATGCAAAATCCTATCGTCTCTTCCAATTCACTTGCATTTGATTTTTGCAAAACCATTTCTCTCTCACTCTTTCCGCACACACTCTCTCTCTTCTCACAAATACTTGGAGTGAAGTTTTTTTGTCACTTTTTTGTCGATATTATTTTCGTATTGAATTTTTTTATTGCTTTTTATATTGAAATTACATAAAAAGGTACATAAAATACAATTGATTGACGACTCGTTTGTTTGTCTCACTCTTTATTCATTGCAATGCTTATTGTGTTTGAAAAAGAGAGATAACATATAAAGTTAAAAACTTTATTGTTTCTCTCGTATGCATTGTTTTCCACTTTTACTCTTTCTTCTAATCACCTGTTAATCCAGTTTTGCATTTTTAAATGATTCCCAAAATATGCATTTTTAAAAGCCCTGAAGACATCATAATTAACAGTAAAAGTAAATTTTATTTTCAGTTAATTAGTGTTTTGAAATTATGCTAAATATAGCCAAATATAAAGCGCTACTCTATTATTAAATTGTTGTTTTATTACAACTGTTTTAGATGCATAGCGATAAAAATAGTTTTGTTAAACAAATTAAATTTTGTTTTACTCATTAAATTTTATTGAATTTAATTTTGATAATCGTTTTTCAATTATTGGCTCCAATAATATGACGGGTTATTTCCAGACATTGATACTAATTAATATACAAATTAAATATTTTAAGTTAATTCAAATAGTTTTAATGATTTACAAACATTTTTATAAAATATTGCCAAAAACTAAATACAATGTTATAAATATTTTTAATTTAACGTTAATTTGTCTGATAGTCTGATATTTTTATCTCCGATTTGGTTATCTGTTTGTTTGGTAATTATATTTAGATTTAAATATTGGGGAAAATATATAATGAATGAATTGTTTATCTATCTGTCCATTGATTGCATAAATTTTAATATAAAAGTTATATTTGTTTTGTTTAAATGAGTTCAACGTTTGCTTAAATTGAGACAATAAAATGTTATGCTTTGGTTCACTATAAGTGCCTTTAAAAAATTAAGTTATTTTCTAATTAAAACAAAACACATTTTAAAGTAACGAATAATTTAAAATTGTGTAAAAATTGTTTATTGATATTTGAGTTTAACATACATTACATATTAAGTAGAAATATCGTGTATATCAGACATTATTTTAACTGAAAATTTCATTAATTAATGTCTAACATTCATATGTATGGCAAATATTTACAATTACAGAATTGTGTGTTTAAATTATATGTATGTTTTAGGCGTCTGCAGTCATAATGAGTTATTTTTATCAAGAATTTTATGACTTATGTTTCCAAAACCATTTTGTTTGAAATTCCTATTAAAATTGAACGTTAAATTGATTTACATTTAAATTATATATACATTTATATAAAAGAGTTTTGTTCAATATGTTTTTGGCAGAGAAATAGCTGTTGAGCTGTTTCTACACAATAAATTTGAAACAACTTTTATTTCAAATATTTATATTGATTTCTGAAGTGTTTCACTTGTTTGCGGACATATTTCGCTTAGTTTCCATATGAAACTCAGACTTTCAGTTACTATTTAAACAATCTTTACAAAATTGGATTTTTCTGCCTTTTTCTCGCAAACCAACGCAAATAATTTTCATTTTTGTAATTATTCTCATATTTTCCACTCGTTTTTCTCTATAAATATCTACTGAAAAAAGTGAATCAAACAAAAGAAAAGTATGAAAAATTGCAAAATTCAAGGCTAGGAAAGGATGGCGAGAGTCGTGTGTAACTGAATGGTAGGAACACATGAAGTCTTAAAATTTTCAGTTCACTAAACACTATGTGAGTCATGAAGAGATGTGGGATATTAGACAAATAGTGTACACGAAAAAAATAATATCTATACTGCATATATCATGCACACAATTCTGGGCAACAGAATTCATGATGAATTAAATTTAAAAAACACATCTATTTATAGAAATTTTACAAAATATAAGTTTTTAGGCAATGAGTTAAGCGTCGAAATGACGCTATATATTGAGACATCTTAATGAATACACGTGTGGATTGAATGATGTGATTAATGTCATTCCTCCTCATTGGGAGTGATAGTACTTTTGGTGAGCTCTTCCTCGTCGTCGAGAATGCCGACCGAATTGCTGGACGAGAAGCATAGGGCCGAACAGCCACAGCACACGAGTCCCATCAATACTATGCCGAGTCCGGCGCCGATCAGCAGCGATAATATTAGCCATAAGTCGGTGTCGTGTTGTTCGTAGGCTATGGCCACCAGAATGCCGACGCCGGCCGCCGCCAACACTATGCCAAACACAATGGCGAGTCCGCTCGAGCACATACAGGCCCGCGATTTTCTCATGTTTTTTTGTTGCTGTAGTTATTTATTAATCAATTTTTATATTATATTTTATATGCAATTTTGTTGATCAGTAAAAAAGATAATTAATATATGATTAGCAAAACAGCATAAAAGCGGGAAAAATTCTTGAAATTCTCGTGTGAATACAATTTTTAATCAACGCATAGGAGAAATGTCACTAAGTTTTGCGTTGCATTGGCTCTGAATTGTGACATAACATTTTCTCTCCTCTATTTGTAAAGGTCTTAGTCTCTGATCGAGTGAATTATGTTTTTAATAATTTGTTGGGAAAAACAGTTACTACGGATACCATGTCTTAATCAAAACATGAGAAAATACGAGTGCAATACCATTATAAATACATTACAAGAATCTGAGACCAAAACATGTTATGCTATTAGTTGTTAACGCTGTATACGATATTGAAAACGATTAATTAAATTCACGGCTCGATATGTTGTAGAGGTTTCGGAAAAGTTATGTTGCATTATGCTAGAAGTATATTACGTGAATCTGTACTTTTGTTTTAATAATTGTACATGATAACTTGAAATGATATTACCCCTAAACAATATATTTTAGTTTTTGTTTTCCCTCCCGCTTTACCTTCCAATAAATTCTTATTATTTTAAGCACAAGTAATAAGATATAAGAGAATATCTGAGCATTTGATATAAATATATTTAGAATTGATAGAACATTAAACTCACCAAGATGTATTAAAATTTAAATTTTAAAATTTTATTTATGAATGCAATTGTTTCTCAATATTTAGAATTAAAATAATTGAATGTTTATCAAAATCAATATCATATTGAAACCATTTATATTCCTTATATATTGCGAGCCATTAGGCATTATTATAGTCATTATGTTTTAACAATACATTAATCAATTGATTGTAATTAATTAATTTGCTTTTGGGTTTTCAATTTGTATATTAGTACTAATTTATTATTAATTTAGTGATTAACTCGAGAGTCAAAAATTTTGATAATATTATAAACTACTCCTAAATATTATTCATTATTTATAATGTTTTATGATATTCTGTCTAATATTTAATGTTATGAATACTTATAATAAATTATTACAACCAATAATTTATGCATTCATTGAAAACTTGAAATACACAAACAATTTTTAATATAGAAATATTCATGTCATTGATATTCAGTTCGCTGTCGTTTTAGATTAACATTGATTTATAAATATTAATAGATATTGAACTGAATTTATCAAATTATATTCAATTCTACATCACATACAAAACACACGAACAATATTTATAATAAAATTAATTATGCATTACATGATTTGTTCTCATACTAACAATATTTGGCATTTAAATTAAATTGCAAAGTACTGTATATTCTATATATGAGGGACTGAGAGCAGAATAAACGTCCAGTTTTAATGTTGTCTTTACTGCCATGTCTATTATGCACTGCTATAGCAAATACAATAAACACGGCAGTAAAGACAACATTAAAACTGGACGTTTATTCTGCTCTCAGTCTCTCATATTCTTTACGTGTAGTATTTTGGTGTGTTATTGACAATAACTTATTGTAAATATCTTATTGAAATAAAAGACTGGTAAAACACATGGTAACAATTTTCCCATACATTTTACAAAATTAATTACAATTTATTTTACATATTTATAAAAGATTGCATAAGAAATTTTAACAAAAGTTTTATTCAAATTGTATTAATGAATAAAATATATTGCAATAAAAATGTTATTAATCTTAATTATTATAAATAGTATTAATTGAATAATTAAAAAAAACTCACAAACTTTTATCTTGAAATTAATTGCTCTAATTTGTATTGTTTTTGATTTTTAGTGTAAATTTTCTCAATAATAAAATTAATAAATAAACTAATTTAACGCTCAGACAGTTAATTATAATTTATTTTTAATATAAATTAATACGAGTAATACTTCCGATTTAATAATATGTTATTTCGTTGAATAAAAA